CTCGTGGGGGGGGGGGGGGCCGGGGGGGGGGGCGTGTGAGAGGCTGAGAAACCAATACAGGAACTTTCAAGCGGTCTTCATGTCATGTAGGGTCCGCGATATTTAAGCCTTGTACTAGTTGATACTCGGATATTCTATTCTGAATGACCCTTATGAGGTTCCAGATATAAAATAATCGCAGATATCTCATATTTTCATATATTTCCCATATGTCATCTCCATAGATGAAAAACAAGTCATGTCAGCCATTTGTTTGATATGACCTCAATTTTGCCTTAAAATGAAGGGATACTGTCATAATAATAATAATGATAACAACAGAAAAATTTTAGTAAAATCATAATGATAAAAATATTGCTTATGATTATAAACGTAATATGAGACTTACGGTTCTTACATATACTGTACATCTCTGTTTTTCCTGCGCTTGCAGACCCCTCGAAAATTTACATATCAAATGGAAAATGTTTCTACATTTACATTTTATTTTTGTGAGATTATGAATTAAGTTTTTGACTGCATGGAATTACTGATGTCGGTTATTGTCGAAACAGTGATGATGATAATAATAATAACAAATGGCGTCTTTTTTGTATTCGTGCAATTTTTATTTGCATTTTTGAAACAATTTTTTTTGTGTTTTACAGATTTGTTTAATGCCCGTTATGCGTATAAAGGCTTAAAATTATGTGAGATCAGAAATAACAGATAGGCCTATAAGATATTATGCTATTTGTGAAGAGGATTATTTAGAACAAAACAGCAAGTGTCATTCCGTTTTAATTCCTTTCTAAATTTACTACGGCATGCACTGGATATAAGATCAAATATGTTTTTTTTATCATTTGCAATTTATTTGTGTCACAGTGTCCTGGAGGTTGTCAATAAAGTAGTTATGGAGGAAGCCTTCAACTCCATCTTCCAGGAGTTTTGTCTCTTTCTGGCACAGGGGACACAGGAAAGTGCTTCCTGGAATAAAGAATAATTTACACTATACTGTTTACTGATACTCTTTAGAGGCATAAGTGTTTTTTTATTGCTTGGTTATATGCACTTTATATGTCCCAATTTCTGTCAAAAAAATTTACGCTAGTAATGTTTAGTAAAATATCATTAACACTGTGTATTTGATTTTTAACCTTTTTTTAGTTTTTTACTGAAACGCTTATTTGGTCAATATAAATATGAAATATTAATAATTTTTAATAATGATTAGGCCCCATGAATTGAAAAGTCGGGTTGATTACGTTTTAAGTTAGAGGTAACATTTATATTGATTGTCCTCTCTAAGGATCATTGATAATTATCGAAGGAAAGTAGGAAAGTAGACATTAAATGGTAGATAAAAATTACTAACACAAATGGCCTCTAAATTTAAAACCTCATTTGAAGTTAATTCATATGGGCCGTTGCCAATGTTAGTCGAATGTGCAATACCCTATGATAAACTTCACAGTGCCGGTATTTCATATTAATGTACAATAGTGCCTTAAGTTAATTTTCCTCATTCTGACATATGACATGTCGCACTTGCTGTATGATCAGGGATAGGCCTATACAGTAGCTGCATGGTCACTCGTGTAATAAAGGATAGGGACAGTGCATGTTCTTAACAATAATGTATCTACTTCCTGGTTAAATTTGGGTGACAACACGCCCTACCCAGTGGCGGATCCAGGATTATTTGAATGGGGGCCTGGAACGACAGGCCTCGGATGCGAAGCCGACCATCGCCCCCTTGGCGTGGGGTTCCTGCACAAGGGCCCCGAAACATTTTTGGTGTTCTGGAGAGCAAACAGTGCCGTTTGGTACGGTTTAGAACTATGATTAAGCTAGTCAAAGTTCTAATTTTTAAGAGGGGCATGTTGGTGTGATGTATTTTTCAAAAACCGAAGGGGGATGGCAGGATCCCCGTGCCCCCCCCCTCTAAATCCGCCACCGCCTACCTGGTGTATTATCGGGGATGTAGCTGGCCAGACATCGCTTACACTACAGTAGGTGTGGAGACAGGGGAGAACTTTAGGGTCTTCAAAATCTTTGAGGCAGATGGAGCAGTTGGTGAAATTTTCTCGAATCTTTGCCCTCAAACTTTCGTCTTCATCTCCGATTGAAGCGGTCGCCATTTTAAAATAAGCAGTGCGTCACATGCGCCCATTGATTAGGGGATTCCTCTTTTTCTGTTCGACCTAGGTAGATTTTAAACACCTCCGCGAAATCTAAAAATAACGTCTGGTACTCCTAATAGTACATATAAGTACCATAGTAAAATCAGATTAAATATTATATTAAATCGGTTAAGAAAATTGCGAACTCAGTGCACAAATAGGGTCTTTGCGAATTTCATGATGCACAAATAGGGTCTCCGTTATGGAAGTAAAAATGAAAAATAACGATTGAATTGCTACCAAAACGAAATCTGCCTACCCTACACGTCAATTTCTATACCAACCCGTGACATATTTGAATATTGAACCCAGTTTTCCCAGGGAAAATACATAAGAATAATTCCACTGCAGCATTTTATTGTTCAATTTTGAGAATTGTAATGTAACGGATTTTATTAAAATCCAGTTTACAGTAATTTAATAAGGATCTGTCATTGTTTAAAGGTTCTGATCAAATAAGAAACGAGCAACATTAAGAATAAAGTTTATTAAAATCCATCAAAACAAAATGTTCCAGTAAGTTATAGTCCTGTGTGTGCATTAATGTCCAAAAGGAAACATCCGTTCCGAGTACTGCGGATGATGGAGTCGTAGGAACACAGGTCGACACTCAGCTACGGTCCGGTCTGCGACGAAGGGTTCCGACACGGCGCGAACCGTGCGCAATATACCTGCGAGAATCTAGACGGTAGATTTCCCGAGTGCTGCCAACCAACGGTATCCTAGGGTTCCGACACGGCGCGAACCCTGTGCACTGTACCTGCGAGAATCTGGACGATAGATTCCCCGAGTGCTGCCAGCCAACGGTAACCTGGGGTTCCGACACGGCACGAACCCTGTGCACTGTACCTGCGAGAATCTAGACGGTAGATTCCCCTAGTGCTGCCCACCACTGTACCGGCGTGAACAGAACCAACTAACCGCCCCAGTACACCTGCAAGAGAGGGTGAAACTCTCTCAATGGGAACCTCGAGCTGAAAGCGTCTCCTGAATCCAAAGTCTTCAGCTCAGAGTGAGGTGAGCCCACTGAAAGACAAAGAGGCCGATGTCGTTCTAACATAGGGTGCGTTAGAGGAAGGGTATGGACGTTTCCTGACTCTCGCTGATTTCCATCGGAACTTATTGATACTGCAAGTGACCATGGAAATGGTACACTAATCACAAATACATTAAATCAATGGAGAGGCACATAAATCTCTCCCAACAATCACATGAACATTTATCAACTTAAAACAACAGTCCCCGTGGTAACTAAAATTTTCATTACAGTAACATCTAACCACAAATCATAAATGGTTTCGAAAGGTGGTCCTATATTTATTGAAAACATTGTAGTAGAAAGAGGAACATTTTATTTGTTTTTTCTTAGATCCCTCGTTGGATCAAAACTTATGTTAACTAATTAAAAAAGTGACCTGTACACTATACTTACGTTTTGTACTTACATGTACGCTCTGATTCTATCTTCTTTTGGTGAGTTGTGGTATCTCCCTTTTCAATCATAGGATTATGGTCTGATATTCTAAACTTGCATATTATTTGTCTTGTTTTAAAAAAGAGATTTTTCAAAAGGGGTATTTCAGGACAAAAATGCCCGTCAAGTGTCTGTATAATAGACATTTAGATGAATGTTCTATTTTTATACGAATAACTTGAATTAAATTATCCATTAAACGTGGTTCAAAGTCTTTAAAAAATATGCTACATCCGATATGTTTTGATGCTCCCACACATCTGACAGTGTTAAAAGTTATTATATCTTTGTGGCCCAATTGTCAAGCTCATTGCATAAAAGTAGTAGATTGTCATAGATCCCCTTTAAAAGTTTTGCGTTCCTAAAACCTAATCCAATACACATAATATATTAGTAGCAATCGCCATAATTCATTTCAGGCTCCGTTCACATGACAAGTCTATTTTCTAAAAAACTATTTTCTATTCGCGGTATCTTGTGATCACGGTCTGTGCCCTGAATACCCCGCGGCGTAATTACTGGCAGCGCGAGCCAGATACTTCCAAAGCTGTAAATAATTCTCGGCTGCGCTCGGAGTGATCACAAGATACCGCGAATAGAAAATATATTTTAAGAAAATAGACTTTTCATCTGAACGGAGTCTTAAATAGCTGTGTTTCTTACTCCCAAGATTGTTTTACCGTAATGCAGACGAAATTCCAAAATTGCTATGCGTACAAAGGCTTAAAACTACATGAGATCAGATATGTCAAATATATGATACAGTGTAATATGTTATTTGTGAAGATGATTATCTAGAACAAAACAGCAAGAGTCATTCTGTTTTAATTCCTTTCTGAATATACCACTTCATGAACTGGATATATGAACAAATATGTTTTTTATTGTTTGCAAATTTACACAAAAATGATGACTACCATGTTACTAAAAATATCTATCATGATGGCAATCAACAACCATAACGAAATTCAGTCTAAAGTAAGCCAATCATAATCGTAATCATAGGTAATGAAGCACGTGTCTCTTCAGAAACGGTTTACGTTCACCACAGTGAAAAAATACCATTAAGCACTGATCGATCTCCACAGGACAGGTTTATTCATTTTCATCTACTCTGAATCCATGTACCTAAACACCTTGATCTTCCCTCCGTGCTGAGACACTGCTATATCACCATCATGGTTGATGGTTAAACCACATGGAGCCTGCAACCCGTCATCTTCTGTTGCTAAGAACTGGACAAACTCGCCATCATTTGAAATGATGTGAGTTTTGTTGGTGATGTAGTCAGCAACCATAATGTTATCATACTGGTCAACACAGACACCGCATGGATTACAGAGTTGATTCTGTCCAGAGCCAGTGTAGGTGTGGAGCAGTGATCCAGTGGGACTCAGGATGAAGACTGCTTTAGCTTCGTTATCAGAAACAACAATGTTCCTAATATTAAGAACAGTCACATACCAAGGCCACTGAAAGCTACTATGCTTTATGGTACCCACTGTGGCACCGTGAAGGTTGACAATGCTGACTTGTTTAAGATTAGGCTGAGCAACCAGAATGGTATTGGAGTCGGTAACATGTAAACCATCAGGACCATCCATATCCACTTCTTTAGTAATATTTAAGTCCCGTGACATGAAGTTTAGTTTATTGTTGTCATATTCAGAGACCACTATGGTACCATCAGGTAGTACTGCTACACCAAAAGGTCTGTCCAGTGACCTGCTACCAGCCTTGGATTGCTGCAAAAGGAGTTGTCCATCTGAGCTAAATCTGCACACGTTGTTGTTATCATAATCCACCACCAGGTATCCCTGCTGCGGTTTGGCACAGGTGGTCAGACTAAATGGATTGATACAGTTTGAATCAAACTGACTAACCAAGTGCGGTTTATTTTTGATCTGTGCCTTCTGTGTTACACACGATGGTTCACGTGAACTAATGCCTTGAATATCTTGTCTGTCTTGTTGTATCGTCCCAAGTCCTGTGCCCTTGTCCATTTCTCTATCAACATCACTGTTGGTCTGTAGTTGAAGGCTGAGGTGTTGTGGGATATCACCGTCACCAGATGGCAGCAGGAGCTCCTGTAACCTGTGTCCTACTTGCTGCTGTAAAATGAGGATCTCGGCTGGAGTACCACGGGACAGGATGCTGCCTACTAGATCTGAGGTGCTCTTCATGGTTGACGTGGTGACCTCACAACTCTCCAAGTACAAGGTGATGTTCTTCTTATGAGCCTCGCTGACTTGCTGAACTTCTTGGAGAAGCTTTTTCTCCTGCTGCTGAATCTGTTGCTGAAGATGGCGACTGTGGTCTGAGATGTCCTTCATCACACAGCTGGTATTGGTTTCGTGGTCCCTGAGCACAGCCTGAAGGATGGTTAAATCGTTTTCCTGTACGCTGATCTTGTCGACTAACTTCTCCAGCATGGACGCCAGTTTGGGCTTCACTGTTTCTATGGCAGTATCCAGGGATGTACACTTGTGTTCATCATGAGTGAGGACCTTGCAGTCACGGCAAATGGGTATCTGGCACTTAAGGCAAAAATACTTGATGGGTTCTTCTTTGTGTTCAGGACAGAAGACACGCTGGAATTCCTGGACCTCCTGATGGTGTTCCCCACTGTGAAGCTGATCTAAGGTGTAGATTTTGTGGTTCAGTGACATTTTGAAACGAATGTGAGACTTGGCACAAGGACTACAGAGGTACTCACTGCAGTTGAGACATTTGGACACTGCCTCTACATCATCGCCGTCTATGGCACAAGCATCACATTTTTTCTTCCTGGTCGGGGTGAACACAGTGTCCTGGAGGCTGTCTATGAAGTAGTTACGAAGGAAGCCTTCAACTCCTTCTTCTGGAAGCATTGTTTCTTTCCGGCACACGGGGCACAGGAACTTGCTCCCTGGAATTAAAAGGATTATGTACACTGTACAGTTTCCCTGCTACTCTTTATAACTGATTCTTGAAGACTCTTATCACTGCTTTGTATTTTAAGAATGTTTTGGTTAACTTTTATTTTTAAGTTTTAATTACTTTGATGATAGATTTTAGTTGATCTTTGTAGTTTCAGTTTTTATATGAAAATGTAAGCAGCGCTAAGACACACGTGTAGCGCGGTTTTAAGAAATGTATTATCTTGTATGGTTGTGAATGCTGGGATATCTCCAAGAAAACTAAGAAGAAACTGGAAGCTACCGAAATGTGGTACCTACGGAAATGTTGATAATATCCTGGACAGAAAGAAAGACCAATGAAGAAGAGTATCAACTTGCAGGAATACAAAAATCACTGTTGAAAACAAGCAGAAAGAGACAAATGAATCTCTGGGCTATACCATCAAAAAAGACGGAATGGACAAACTGGTACTTTGGGAAAATTGAAGGACGAGGGAAGTAGAGGAAGACACATGGCTCATAGGGCACACGAAACAAAACTTATGTCAAGGTTCTCCTGGCTTGGAGCACATAAATGGGCTTGCCCAGTATCATTGAGGACGGTAGGGTCTGGAAGTCTGAATATGCTGTCGCCTAATAAATGATACCGTCTGTTGACTACGATCGACGTGATGATAATGATGATGATGATGATGGTGTTTTATATTTAATCGATTCATCAAAAGTTGGATACATTTTAGATACATTTTAGATGGAAGTAACACAAATACATATCAGTTGGTCCTTATTTATAAGAAACATTTTCATCAACTTATTCTCGACGATGGAGGAAGACAAACTTTCGATTAAAAACAAAAAACGGGTTGATTAATTTTTTACCATGCAAATATATTAATTACTTTTAAAACTGAGCAATTGCAGAATATTTATACAAATTTATTATCCCCGCATTTTTGTGACAAAATCATATTATCTCGTGAACCCGTGCGGCCGTGTTGCAACATAGAAATCAAGTTCCCTGAAGGCGTGATGGCTACCTTTCGACACCAACTAGTATTGTTGATGCTAGGCAAAGCTTCGTTGAAATTTGATTAAATTCTTATCCATTTCAAAGATTTAATTCACAATGTTTGTACTGTAAGTGTAAATGAATGTGCAAAACTGCGCAAAGATAGTTTCACTTCATTCTGACTTGTCGCATGCTTACCTGGTGTATTACCGGGGATGTAGCTGGCCAGACATCGCTTACAGTAGGTGTGAAGACAGGGCAGAACTTTTGGATCTTCAAAATCTTTGAGGCAGATGGAGCAGTTGGTGAAATTTTCTCGAATCTTTGCCCTCAAACTCTCCTCATCCTCTACGCCTGAAGCTGTCGCCATGTTTTAGGGGTGGATGGAATCACCTGATTCTAACTTATCTATGTATGACTTTGGAGAGGTCATAAAATGGGGTCCCATGATGTATAGATTGATAGGTTAGTTCAATGATAACTGTAATAAAGCGTGCATGTAAATAATTTATCTGAAAAAGTGGGTCATTATTTTAGCACGTAAAAATGCTGTTATTTGATAAACAAAACAAATTTTTGTTGATGACAGAATGAATAAAGAAGAGTAGAAAATATTAATGAAGCTTCCCATAGGGGTTTAATCTTGTCCCTAGTGTGTCAGGGGGAACGCAGACGGAAACACCTGTTGATCAGTCCCTCTTTAAAAAATTGATTTTCATAAGTGTTTTTTAAATAACCAAAAAAAAAAAAAAAAAAAAAAATGAGAAACATTTGATACAGCATTATTTTATATCTACATATCTTCACATTAGAGACGGCCATTTAACAACATTACATTATTGCATGATTTATTACACAGTTCAGTTGATTTATTGGTAACAATTATTATTAATTTACCTTTTTTTTCCAGTATCCTCGAATGGAGCCGAGATTTAATTACTGTGCCCCTGCAGGGGCGACGCGTGGGGGGGGGGGCGTGTGAGAGGCAGAGAGACCATTACAGGAACTTACAAGCGGTCTTCATGTCATGTAGGGTCCGCCATATTTAAGCCTTGTACCAGTTGATACTCGGATTTTCTATTCTGATTGGCCCTTATGAGGCTCCAGATAAGTGGAGTAAATTATCGCACATTTCTCATATTTTCATATATTTCCCATATGTCATCTCCATAGATGGAAAGCAAGTCATGTCATCCATTTGTTTGATATGACCTCAATTTTGCCTTTAAAATGAAGGAATGCTTGGAATCGTAGTAGATACATAAGAAGTGCCATAATAATAATAACAACAGTAACATTTTAGTAAAAATCATAATGATAAAAATATTGCTTACAAACGTAATATGAGACTTACGGTTCTTACATGTTCAACTCTGTTTTTTCTGCGCTTGCAGACCCCTCAAATTTTTTTCCAAGATTTTTATTATCTGTGTAATTTTGAGTTCTTAATAATTATATTAATATAATAACCAAAGGTTTCTGCCAGTTATAATGTTAATATATTTTTCCTTAGATCACTGTAATGTGGACAAATACGGACAAAATGAAATTCAACCTCTTTGAATCTTCTATCAATTTACATGCGTTCTGTCTTCTTTTGGTGCGTTGTGGTATCTCACTTGTCAATCATAAGTTTATGGTCTG